CATATAAATCTACCTCATCCTTTTTAAGGGCCATGTTGCTTTCCATAGGTACGCATAATTCATTCATTCAACTCCCCACTGGTGAACACTGGGGTTGTTTATACCCATTTGCTTTTCAAACAGTGAACATCCTTGGCCTGCCCACTGGGGAGTCTTCATTTTTAGAGTTGGGAAAGCCGGGTGAGATGTGAGCACTTAAATGTGACAGTCAAGGAGCCAGATTTTGCAGGCTTCTTAGGCAGGGCTAAGAGAGGTAGGGCTTTAGAGGCCGGCCCTGTGGCGCAGCTGTTAAATGCGTGCAGCCTGCTGCTGGCGGCCTGGGTTTGGATCCAGGGTGCACACCGATGCACTGCTTGTCAGGCTATGCTGTGGCGGTGTCCCATATAAAGTGGAGGAAGATGGGCACGGATGTTAGCCCAGGGCCAGTCTTCCTCAGCAAAAAGAGGAGGACTGGCATGAGATGTTAGCTCAGGGTTGATCTTCCTCACAAAAAGAAAAAAAAAAGAGAGATGTGAACTTTATCTTGCTGTCACTAGGAAGGCTTAAAACAACTTGTTTTTTCTAAATTGCTAACTCTGTATTTTTCCTTCATTACCAAACCAATATAAGCACATTACAGACAATGGGGGGCGGTGATAAAGGGAAAAAACCCTCCTATAACTATTGCACAGATGCTTCAGTTCTTCCTTTTAACCTTATTTTCTGGTGCATGTTTTTATTCTCGCTAAATAGTAATTATAGTGCTCATCAATTTTAGATCCTGCTTTTTTCATTTAAGGTTCCTGTGTCAGCATTTTTTCATATGATCGCAGGGTTTTCATAAAAAGTTGATTTAGCCAGTCCCTTTGGCTGGACACTAGGGCCTTTTTTACTTGTATCTGAGTGGTGTACATAGTGTCTTCTTCATGGATGCTTTCCAGTCAGGATGTAAGCAAGCTCAAGTTTCCCTTGTGTAAAGGAAACACCCGCTGTGGCTGGCCCAGCAGTGTAGTGGTTAAGTTTGCATGCTCCACTTTGGTGGCCCTGGGTTCTCGGGTTTGGATCCCTGGCGTGGACCTACACAGTGCTCGTCAAGCCATGCTGTGGTGGCGTCCCACATACAAAATAGAGGAAGACTGGCACAGACGTTAGCTCAGGGACAATCTTCAAAAAAGAAACACCCACCTCCATCAATCCCAACCCCCCAGCCCCCTCCAGTTGCCATCCCATCTCTTTCCTCCTTATAGCCAAACTTCTGGAAAGAGGCGCCTCCACCAGTGCACCTCCACTGACTCCACCCACTCAGTCCCCTGCTGTTCCCACCTGTGCCCTTGGTGCCTGGGCCTGGCTCTTCTCCCTCTGCTTGCTCCCTCTCTCCCATGACATCCCTGCCCTCCTGGGGAACCCCGGAACTCTCTCCTGAGCCTGGCTGCCTGCTGGGCTCCAGCTCCCTGCCCCCAACCAGACAATCGGGCGTTATCTCCTTTCCGGGTCCCCTAGCCCTGTCCCTCTAATCAGTGACCAAGTCCTGCCCATCCCACCTCCTGCTCAGCACCTGCTCCTCCCCACCCCACTGCCAACACCCTGGTTCACGTCCCAGTTAGCTCCCACAGGCTGGCACTGGACTCAAATCTGTTTTCCTGCTTCCAGCCGTGCTCGCTCGCCCATGTCCAGGCTCAACAGTTCAGTGGGAATACTGTTTTTCAAATAAAAGTCTGACTGCATCACTCCTTGGAGGAAATACCCTTTAGGGTGCCCTATGGCCCTCAAGATGAAATCCAAACCCCTTAACCTGGAATGGGGGCCCTGGGAGACACAGTCCTGGCTTACCTCCAACCTCAACTCTCACCATTCTCCATCTGTACCCCACCCCTGCTGAATGACTGGCAGTGCTGTGCACGCTCCATGCTTCCTCTCACCTCCTCACTTTTGCACACTGTTGCCTTTTCACGGACCTCTCTTCTTCCTCCACTGCTTTCTTTGCCTGGATAACTTCTAAACTTGCAGGTCCAAGCTTCAAGTCACCTCATCTAGGAAGCTTCCCTGACTTCCCCCATCTGTCAAGGCTCAGGCCCCACTCTCCAATTTGCCCTCATAGCTCTTGTATTTATATTAATCACAGTCTTCACTGTGCTGTGTTCCATTCACCCGTTTGTGATCTGTCATCTGATCCATTCCCTCTCCTCCCACCCACCCACATCTTCCTGACTCCACTTCCTGAAGAGAACATCTGTATCTCGCTCACCTCTGAATCCTTGACCTAGCACAGTGATTGATTCTGAGCTTGTGCCTAATAGATATAGGTTGAATGCGTGAATGAGCAGAAACTAGTGAACATCTTGATGCATAAACTTTTCCCATACTAAAGATGATCTCCTTCGAACGGATTCCCAGAAGTTGGGGTGATTGGATTAAAGGGGATGAATACTGAAAGCTTCAAATCCCACAGCTAAGTAGCTTTCCAAAACAGCGGTAGCAGTCTACGCTCCCTCCAGATAGTGTAAGAGTGCCTAACTCTGTATTCTTGCAGTGTGGCTATTTTGGTTTCTTTCCTTTTAAAAAGTGCTCATTTTATAGGCAAAACATACCACCTTGTTCTAATTTGTATGTCTTTGATTACTAGTGAGGGTGAACATTTTTCCATATGTTTGCCTATTAAATGCACCTCTTCAAGGATTTACCTGTTCGTGTGACGTAGACACTGGGAAGGCAGGTTGGCGTTTTATGAGATGACTTTGGGGACTGGGTAGGGAGTGGCTGGAAGCAGGGAGGTGGCTGCTGCAATTGTCCTGGTGAGGAATTAGCAGGCAGGGTCACTGCGGGGGCCCGGGGAACGGGAGGGGCAGAGAAGGGGCAGATCAAGGAGGCTAAGTCAACCAACCTGGGGACTGACAGGAGATGGTGGGTGAGGCAGAGGGAGGGGTTGGGCACACCCAGGTTTCTGGCTTGGCCAACTGAACAGGAGGAGGTGCTACGCACTGAGATGGTGCACAGGATACATACATACACCCAACTGCACAATGCCTCTCTGGGCTACTTACTAAATACACCTGCTGAGGAATGGTGACGTGGGGCAGCAGAAAAGGCAGAGGCGGGAGGGGCTGATAAGGCAGGCTTCTTGAAGGAGTCAGAGACCGGGGGAGCCAGATTTTGGAAGGATTTGTAGGGCAGGGAGTGGAGCTGGGAGGTTGTCCAGGGCACAATGAGGGTCACTTCAGGAATATTAATAATAATAAACAATAGCTGAAGTTAACTGAGCTGTTACTCTGTTCGAGGCCTTGTTCTAATCGCTTAGCATATTAACTCAATATCCACAACCGCCCTCTGACATGAGTATTCCTATTATCCGCATCTTATAGATGAGGAGACTGAAGTGCAGAGGTCCAGAACCTTGCCCAAACTCAGAAAGCTAGTAAGTGGTGGAGCTGGGATTCAAGCGCAGGGGTCTGGCCCCAGTGTGCATGCTCCTCACCATATGGTTCCAGCCTCTCTAGAGACATGGGCACACAGCCGGGGGGGGGGGGGGGGGGTGCTGGATGAGATCCCCAGGAGGAGCTTATTAAGATTCAACTTTTGCGGGGGCCGGCCCAGTGGCGCAAGCGGTTAGGTGCGCATGCTCCGCTGCGGCGGCCTGGGGTTCGCAGGTTCCGATCCCGGGCGCGCACCAAAGCACCGCTTGTCAGGCCATGCTGTGGCGGCGTCCCATATAGAGTGGAGGAAGATGGGCATGGATGTTAGCCCAGGGCCAGTCTTCCTCAGCAAAAAGAAGAGGATTGGCAGATGTTAGCTCAGGGCTGATATTCCTCACCAAAAAAAAAAAAAAAAAAGATTCAACTTTTGGAGCCCTTCCTGGAAAACAACCAACCATGGACAAATCCCAAAGTCCGCCTCCTCTGAGCCAGGGATGGGACCTCTGAGCTCTGCTGGAGGAACCCTTCCCAGTGACTGGTGCCACCACAGACACGTGGTCCCTGACCACAGCTGGCCCTCCATGCAGCCCAGCACTCATCTCTAAGTGCCAGACAGCTCTCAACTCCCAATCAGCACGCCATAAACTTCCCTGTATCCCCTCCCAGTCTCTCCTCCTATTCAAGGTCGGACCCACCCCCTACCCAGGCTTAGCACTCCAACCCCTAATGTTACCATTCCCCAAACCTGCCCAAGGTTGTGCCCCAAAGCACTGCTGGGAGAAGGAAAGGATGATATATCTAAATGCTCATCAGAAGGGGCCTGGTTAGGGAAATTATGCTATCTCCTATTAATGGCCTATCAGGCAGCTGGAAAAAAGACTGAGGAAGCCCTTAAAGTACTGAAGTGGAATAACCTCGAAGACATTATGGTCAGTGGAAAATGCAAGGTGCAGAACAGCATATCTACTGTACTACCATCTCGGGGAGGGGGAGAAAGAGGAAAGAAAAGAGAGAGAATTTGCTACCGTATTTATATTTGCCTGTACATGCATAGACTATTTCTGGAAGGACGCACAAGAAACTGGTAACACTGGCTACTTCGACATAGAGAAACTGGGGGGCTGGAACAGTAAAGATGCTTCGCTGTATATATTCTTTTTGTGTGTGTGTGAGGAAGATCAGCCCTGAGCTAACATCCATGCTAATCCTCCTCTTTTTGCTTGAGGAAGACCGGCTCTGAGCTAACATCTATTGCCAATCCTCCTCCTGGTTTTTTTTTTTTTCCCCAAAGCCCCAGTAGATAGTTGTATGTCATAGTTACACATCCTTCTAGTTGCTGTGTGTGGGACGCGGCCTCAGCATGGCCGGAGAAGCGGTGCGTCAGTGCGCGGCCGTGATCCGAACCCTGGCTGCCAGTAGCAGAGTGCGCGCACTTAACCGCCAAGCCACGGGGCTGGCCCCGCTGTATATATTCTTGATGTACTCTTGTACCTTTGAATGTCTGTACCATGTGACTAGAATACATTCATATTTTAAAAAATACATAAATAATCTTTCATATATGCGTGTATAGATATACATAAATGAGTTGCTGACGCCCCTCCCCACCTCCCAGGGTCTGGAAGAGAATCTTCTTGCGGCTGATCCTACTTGCAGTTGGCCTCTTAGGGCTGCTCCTGTACGGGCTCCCTCTAGTCAGGTACAACCTCCTTCCCCCAGCACTCGAGGTAGGACTGGCAGGGTCAGGGTTAAAGAGGATCTTTCTAAGTGCCTCCTTGAGAGATGGAGGGTGGTGGCTCTCCTGGCCTTGTGGACTCTCCCTCCTTGTAAGGAGCAAAGCCAGAAGGCTCCTGAGCCGGCTGGTATGCCCCTCACTGCTGCCCCCACCCCACAGGCATCTGGAAGTCCTCATCCCCATGGGTGTCTGCCCTTTGGCCAGAAGGCCCCTGAGAGACAACTTCACGGGTCTCCTGCGTCCCTGGTAAGGAACTACTGTCCCTCCCACTCCGGGAATGCCCATATACCCTACCGAGCTCTGCCCCAGGGGTCCTGCCGCCCCCACATCCCACACCCTGGCAGAGCAGGTGCTTTGCCCACCAACCCCAGCGGCCCCATAGGGTCACACATGTCCCACTCCTGTCTGTGCTGGATCTGGGCTAGGGACTTCTAGGGGCAGGGACTGCGTCTGACCCATCTGTTGGTCCCCAGGGCCCAGCACTGGGGAGGTGGCAGTGAGCATGCATCAAGTGGGTGGATGAATGGACTTGTCTCCCTATCCCTGCCCTGGCCAGGGCCCGGCCTGAAGTCCTGACCTGTACCTCCTGGGGGGCCCCCATCATTTGGGATGGCACCTTCGACCCAGATGTGGCCCAGCAAAAGGCTGCACAGCAGAACCTCACCATTGGGCTGACTGTCTTTGCTGTAGGCAGGTAAGGCCTGGGGAGGGGAGCAGTGCTGTCCAGGTGGGGAGTGGGAGGGGTGTGCATGTGATGGGGGGGGCACCCTGTTCCCCCATGCCATAGGATCTCAAGGTGAAGCAGGAGGCAAAGACAGCACCCCTTGTCCCAGACTCCCAGGGTGAGAGCAGGACCATCCTTTCCCTTCCCCTCCTCCCTGGACACCAACACCGTGAAGCCCACTCAACACAGGCAGCCAGGGGCCCAGAACCACATCCTGGGAGGAACCTGTCCAGGGGCTGGGGCCAGTCCATCTGGAGGCATTGGGTTTGTGGTGAGAAAACGACGGAGTGTTTCAGGTAAGAGTGGTGAGAGGAGGGGAGAGCAATTGGTTAAACAGGGAATAGCCTAGCTGCAGTAGTACCCACTGGAGGTCAGTGGCTCAGGTGCAAGCACACAGTAAGGGGAATGGAAGAGGTCTGCCAAGCAAGTCTGATGGAGGGAGAGGGGCTGGGGAGCTGAGGGTTTCTGGAAGGGCGTGAATCCGAGCTGGGTCAAGAGACAAGTGAAGACAGGAGGGGGATGCTGAGAAAGTGGTAGGGTCAGCAGATCAGAGGACTCTGTGAGGTCGGACTATTGAGGGTGGCAACACAGAAAGTGGGCTGTATGGATGGGGGACAAAGAGAGGACAGGGAGGCTGCGATTCTGGAGGTGGGACAGACTGATTATGACCAAGTCAAGGGAACGGCCACGGAGGCAGGTGACTGAGGATGGTGGAGGACAGACTCACTACACAAAGAATCACTTCCAATTGGAATCACTTCCAATCGAGGAAGTGAGGGGCCTGGGCAATGGACAGGCCCCCAGGTATGGAGAAGGAACCTGGAGTGATAGGTGGAGAAGAAACCCCAGGGGCACTGACTCCCCCATTAAGGATGGCAGGGGTGTCCAAGCTGGGTATCCACTTTCCAGATGCAAAGGGGTCTCCTGGCTGAGAGTGGCACTCAGATCCCACAACCCTAAGGTACAGAGAGGTAGAGTTCAGGGCAATTAAAGGAAAAGTTAATAGAACAGGCTGCTTTGGGAAGGTAGTGAGAGCTTTGCATCCAGAAGAGATATTCAAAAGTCTGGGGAAGGAATTCTGTCATCAGATACCCCAGACAACTGCTCCTCCAACTCTGTCCCCCACACTCTAAACGGGAGAGAAAGCCAGGAAGGGCCCTGGGAGGCAAGTGAGCAAACAAGACCAAGGGCTGAGCCACGGGCCAGGTGGGCAGAACTGCTGGGTCACTTGGGGCATTGGCCTCTCCCAGGGCCTTGGTGCCCCCATTTCCATTCCAGATGCCAAGCAGGCTGTTCCTGCACCAGCCCTTGGGGTTAGGGTCTCCGGGTTCAGAAATTCCAGGGTCCTGAGGTCCTGAATTCCCAGGTTCTGTGAGGCCAACACTCTAGGATGCTGAGGCTTCTGAGGTGAACCAAGGTCTCTGGTTCCAGTTTCTCAGTTCAACCAGGAATAGAGCAAGTGCAGGTAAAGGTGGAGGCTCCAATGCCAAGCTGGGTTCAAATCCCAGCTCTACCATTACCAATGGTGTATGCTTGCACGAGTTACAAGGCTCTTTGTGGCCCGGTTTCCTCATCTGAAAAACGGATGATAAGAAATGGTGAGCAGTGAGATAATGCACATTGCCTTAGAACACTGCCACATGATGAATGTTCAAAGATATGAGGCATTATTATTATTTCAGCTAGGATCCCAAGGTCTGTTAATACAAAGTTTCTAATATTACAAACGTTCTGGTTATCTATGTAAGGAACTACCACAAACTCAGTGACTTAAAACAACAATTTATTACAGCTCATGACTTTGTGGGTCAGGAATTCAGACAGGGCTCTGCAGGAAGGCTCCTCACTGCTCCCAGATGTCTGGGTCTCCAGTGGGACAGCCGACTGGTGAAGACTGGTGGGGCACCTTCTCCACACGGCCACTCTGCATGGCTAGCCTGGGCTTCCTCACATCGTCGCAGCATCAAAGCTCTGGGAATTCATAAGCGAAGGCTCAGAGCCCTCGAGACAAAGGCTAACGCTGCCTCTCCTCCAAAGCGCCAGCACAGCCTCACTTCCTTGGGGCTCTTGATCAAAGCAGTCAGGGAGCGTCCATATTCAAGGGAGGGAACGCAGGGCCCCGCAGGGCAGGAGTGGCAAACGACTTGCAATCATCTTTAATCTGCCTGGAAGGATTCTGGCGTTGGAGAGCTTTGAGTTCCAGGGACTGAGGTTGGAGGACCAGAAGGACCGGTGTGGGGAGGCCCAGGGAGCGCAGTCGGGGAGGGGAGCGGAGCGGGACGCGGGAGGGCCGCCCAGGCTGACTCGGGCCGCGCCCCGCCCGGCAGGTACCTGGAGAAGTACCTGGAGCGCTTCCTGGAGACGGCCGAGCGGCACTTCATGGTGGGCCAGCGCGTGGTGTACTACGTGTTCACCGAGCGCCCGGCCGCCGTGCCCCGCGTGCCGCTGGGCCCGGGGCGCCGGCTGCGCGTGGAGCGCGTGGCGCGCGAGCCGCGCTGGCAGGACGTGTCGATGGGGCGCATGCGCACGCTGCACGAGGCGCTGGGCGGGCGGCTGGGCCGCGAGGCGCGCTTCGTCTTCTGCATGGACGTGGACCAGCACTTCAGCGGCGCCTTCGGGCCCGAGGCGCTGGCCGAGTCGGTGGCGCAGCTGCACGCCTGGCACTACCACTGGCCGCGGCGGCTGCTGCCCTTCGAGCGCGACGCGCGCTCGGCCGCCGCGCTGGCCCCCGGCGAGGGCGACTTCTACTACCACGCGGCGCTGTTCGGGGGCAGCGTGGCGGCGCTGCGCGCGCTGACGGCGCACTGCGCGCAGGGCCTGCGGCAGGACCGCGCGCGCGGCCTGGAGGCGCGCTGGCACGACGAGAGCCACCTCAACAAGTTCTTCTGGCTGCACAAGCCCGCCAAGGTGCTGTCGCCCGAGTTCTGCTGGAGTCCCGACATCGGCCGGCGGGCCGAGATCCGCCGCCCGCGCCTGCTCTGGGCGCCCAAGGAGTACGCGCTGGTGCGCGCCTAGCCAGGGCCCGGCCTCGCCTGCCCGCCTGCCAGGGCACCACCCCGCGAGGGTGCGGAGTGCGCGGGAGAGGAAAGAGTGGGTCCTTCGTGGAAGCGCCGTGGCACTTCGGAGAGCAGGGAGCGATTGGATGAAAACAGCCCTCACCTCCCTCCTGCATGGGCCCAGCCGTGGCAGTCGGAGGAGGTCCGGGCTTGGGCAACTTCTCACTGGAAGAGAAGGATCCCCTTTCTCTTGCTCACAACAGCGACTGAGGCATCGCTGCCTATAGACCTTTCACCTCTGACCTTACTGAATTCAGCAGGTGCCTCCTGAAGAGGTGTTTTAGCCCCCCATATTCCCTCCCCCCCACTTTTTTTGTGAGACTAAAGCACAAAAAGGGAACAAAACTGCCTAAGGACACAGGATCTACAGGCAGTCTTGGAGGTGCGCAGCTGGAGAGCCAGAACTGGCCCCCAGGCAAAGAGAGCTACCTCTGGGCATGAGTCACAGGGAGGAACCCAAGTGGAATCCGGTTCCTTGGTTTTGCCCTTTCACCTCCCCCCCAAACATAATTTGTACCTAATTAAGTAATATTATAATAAATTATTCCAAAAGTGTCCTATGACCCTTTCTCCTGGAGAGTCCAAGTCCACAAAGAACACATTTCTTTGTTGTGGGGCCCATGTGGCTGTTTGGCCACTGTATCTGGAAGATAAGTTTCTTTATCCGCAGCTGCTGTCTAGGCTCTTCATCCTCAGTGGGAGAAACACAGGCTCCGAATAGCGTAAAGTCATCAGGTCCTCCAGGAAAGGTGGTCACAGAGCCAAAGAGACAGGGAAGGTAACCGCTGGAAGCCCCTGAGATGCTGTCTGACAGGTGGGAAAACAGGCCCTGAGAGGGTAGAATGTCACTCCAGGTCTCCTGAATCCTTTATGTCGTGTTCTCATAGACCTTGCATTTTTAACAGCCTCCACTGTTCCCAGGTAGGACAGCAATTCCAGCTATAAACCAACCCTGATGGTTTTAACGATCTGGTAATTTTTACAAGAAGTTTCCAGTTATTAATGATGTTGTCACAGACTAGTGCCCCGAGGAACTCAAGGGTGGGTTTGGAAGGATTTAACTGGTTTTCCAAGTTGTTTTTTTATGTTAGGGAGAGACAACCAACAATGACCCTGAAACTAACCAAGCCTCCTTACAACAGCCACCACCATGACCTTGCCTTATTTTTAATAGGAAGATCTCTGCAAGAGGAGATTAAGCCTCATTACCATAATCTGCAGTGTCCCTGCCTCTCTCTTTTGAATATTCATTCCCCATCCGAAATAAAAGTTCCTGCTTCCCTTTGTTAGGGAACACCATGACTTTGGAAATGATTCCTCATGGCCTCCTATTTGCTGCAAATACACTTTACTTTGTGAGACAACTTCCACTGGTGTAGAATCTTATTTAACTCACCAGGAGGGCCGGCCCCATGGCTTAGCGGTTAAGTGCGTGCACTCCGCTGCTGGCGGCCCGGGTTCGGATCCCGGGCGCGCACCGACGCACCGCTTCTCTGGCCATGCTGAGGCCGCGTCCCACATACAGCAACTAGAAGGATGTGCAGCTATGACATGCAACTATCTACTGGGGCTTTGGGGGAAAATAAATAAATAAATGAATACAATTATAACTCACCAGGAGGCGAGCCCATTTGGTTCAGTATCAATGTTGAGATAAGAGATATCTCCCCAATCAAAAGCAGTTCAAAGTTCTCCAGTTCCTCATACCTAAACTGGATTAGCAAAACCCAAAAGGCCTTTTGGACTCTGGATTAGAGATAAGAACAGGCCGTGTGCACCTAGGAACAGGTTATCTCTTGGTGACTATGAGCTGGCACGTCCCTTCCTCTGGTGGGAAAACGTCTTCCACCTTACCCTGCAACATTCACCCAGGGCCACGCACGCTGACCCTCACGACCCCTGCGCCACTAGAGACCTGAGAGTGAGCCAGTAAGATCTGGATGGGAACCTGCTTCTCTTCTAACGCTGTGCCTGACTATAGACAACTTCCTCATGTTGGGTGAGTCTGTTTTCTTGTATGTACAGTGTGGGTGTCAGTCACCTCCTTGCAGGGGTTGTTGTGGTGCTCCAGAAAATGTGACTTGCCTTCGCCCTCTCCTTGCCTGCCCCACCTCCAGCAAGTTCACGGAGTACAAAGGATTTGTCAAAGAACAGCCATTTCTTGTTTGAAAGAGGAAGTGATGGCACAGTCAGGGGTTTCCAGGTGCTATAGATGGAGACCTTCCTGAGTGGGGGAGGGGTCAAGGAATCTGCTGGGTGCAGCAGAGTGGATGGCCTCTTGGGAGGCTCCTTCCTTTGTCTTACCCAGAGGCCCAAGTAGGGGTGGGGCCTGCGGTGGGGCTTAGGGCTGAAGCAGGAATAACAAGGGGGATAAAGCACCTTCTGCAGCTGCTTCCCTCCTGGCCATCAACCTTGGCCTCGCACCTATGCTGGGGCTCTCAGGGACAGTGGACGCTCCTGAGGGCATCCAGGTGAGCAGGTGAAAATCAGACTCCCATCCCCTGAATGTCACTGCTGCATGCAAAACCTTCACCTGTCCCAGCACGCCCCCCGACCCCGAAATTCCCAAACATCTTCAGCTGTCTAGTCAGGGTTCATTGATCATAAGGGACATAGATCCACCAGGGCTACATCAAATAATAACAATCACAACAACTACATTTATTGGGTACTTACTATGTGCCGGGCACAGTTCTAAGCATTAGACATATATTGATTCATTTAATCCTCACATCCACCCTATAAATTGGTTACTGTTATTTCCCTCATTTTACATATGAGAAAATCAGGCACAGAGAGGTTAAGTAACTTAGCCACTGTCACACCACTAGCAACTTAAATTCATTGATGTGAGAACAAGCAGGAAATTAAACCTGGCCAGGAGATGGAGACAAAGTCAGGGACCGAGGTTGCCACTGGCTCTTGGTCTCCTCTGTTCATCTCTGCTTCTCTCTGCCTCCTTTGTCCTTCTGCTTGTTCCTGGCCCAACACAGCCACCCCAGCCCCAGTCCACAAGGTTTTCCAGTTCAGGTACCCACCGTCTCCTAACTTGTCCCTAATTCATGGAATGGAGAATCTGGAGCCAGCCAGTGGTGTGCTGGTAAATGTATAGCAACTGGCTCTTTGAGGAAAAAGAAAGCCCCCATCTGTAGCATTTGCCAGTTTCCATGATGTAAATCCCACCGTGGCTGATTTCAAACCACAACACTCACTGAATGTGGAGTTGGGAAGAAGTAGGCACAATCCACTCTCATGAGCCAGGACAGCCATTACACACCACTGGCACCACTGGTACCACTGGTCTAAGGATGGAGTCACTGAGTCAGGCATGCACCCCTGGCCAGTGAGCTGTGGCTGGGATAGGGTCACGTGACACAAACATGGCTGCCAGAACCCATCCCTTCATGGCACAGCAGGCCATGGAAGGTCAATTTCAGAGAAAGAGATGAAGCCTAGATTACTCAAAACATGTTCTTGGCCCCCACATCCATTCCCCCTTCTGATGGTAACACATGCTGGTTTCCTCTTGGGGAGATGTACTTCAGATGGGGTTCCACCCTCTACTCCAGGCTTAGAGCACGGGCTCTAGGCCTAAGCAATCAAGTAGACATTTTTGTCTACCCAGTCTAAACCAGGAAGACCCAGTTAGACTTTTGCTGGGGCTTCTGGGAGAGAGATCAAGAGGCTTGACTGCTGAAAACCTGGGGGCTGTGAGGCTGGAGCTGCTGATCCCACAGGAGCCTGAGGATGGAGGTGACTCTGAGAACAAAGCCAAGTGGAGAGCTAGAGATACATCACTGAGCCCTGGAGCTGGCCTGACCCACCCTGCACTGTCCTGTTAGGCAAGCCGAGAATCCTCATTTGGATTGGGCTTTCTATATCACTTGCAGCCAAGTCCCAACACATTAGGACCGTGAGGGCTCGGAGGAGTGAGTTCCAGATGGTGAGCTCCATGGTGACTCATGGCTGAGTCACTTCTGCCTCTCCCAGGACACCTCCCATAGGGCCAGCCTAGATAAACTCTGGGGGAATTAATTCCCCCATTTCCCTCCTAGGCAATGAAAACATTGACTCCCATGGGGAAAATGTACGTGAAGGGGACTTTTTGGTCCCGTCAATTACTGGAATAACTTCCACAAATCAGAGCACTCAGGATGGACCCCAAGAAGGGGAGGAGGAACTGGATGTGGCTGTCCCTTTGGGAGCAGGGGCAGTGAATATCATTGGTGGACCCTGTACATCTAAAAAGGCTTCATTCAGGACTAGACAAACCTGGGTTAAATTTGTCCTCGCCACTTAACTGCAGCATGATCCTCAGCAAAAAACCTCCCCTGGTTTGCTGCCCCTTCGTAGGGGTTTGGAAGTAATCAACACCAAGCTGTCAGCTCAGCAGCGGGGAGCAAAGCCGGGCCAAAGTAGGGGACCATGTCCCTTCTTCCCCAAGCCTGGGGGGCGGGGGAGGGGAGAGGAGCAGTGGAAAGGTGCCCCCCAGCCCCGCCCTCGCACAGAGCACACCACACACCACCACCACCCGGGTGCAGGTACAGTTTATTCTTCACAACAGAGAAATACAAAGAGCAGAGGGTTTGGAATTCCTTTGTTTCTTGCCCCCTTTAGTGTTGTCCCCCACGTTTGATTTTTATTTTGCTCCCCACCCCTTTTCTTAAATATAATGCAACCTTCTTTCCTGAAGTGTTGAGGGGCACCTGCCCTCACCTCCCTGCCACCAAGATGTAGACTGAGAAGCCAACAGACTGTTTTCTCTTTTTTAATAAGGTAACTAGTTCTAAATACGGTGGCCTGGAGGTCCCATAGAAAAAAGCAAAGGGGTGTTAACAGTATGTATAACAGCATATTTACAGGGTAGTAACATGCGGACGAAAAGCTACAATACTGAGTATCAGACGCAAGTCAAACAAAGGGGTGGGGGTGGGGCAGAGAACCCAGTGGGAAAAGAAACCCCAGGAAA